AAGCTACTTCATCAGAATCTTAAGAAGAATGAATTCTTTTAATTTTTAAAGAAAAGTATTTTCGAAAATGTTTGAAATTTCTTATTGTTTAAATTGAAGGTTTAAAGAAACAATTAAAACAGATTTTGATATAATACTAAACAAATACTTTCAAGCGATTTATAAAGGATTTTCGAAAAAAAAAATTATTTTGCCACCTGTTTGGAATTTTTTAATCAGTTAAATTGAAGATTTATAGAAGATATTAAAACACAGGTATTGAGTTAAATAGATTCAAGAAAGATTTCAGAACGCAATATTTTTTAATAGGGTTGCCATCTGTCTGAAAAATTTAATTCAGTAAAATCGTAATGATTAACAAAATATTGCTCAATCAGCTATAAATAGAAGCTTTTTGTGAATAGTGTTGCCACCTATTTTTTTATAAGGGTTGCAATCTGTCAGAAAATTTTTATTCAATAAAATCACTATGATTAACAAAGTATTGCTGAATTAGCTATAAATAAAAGCTATTTGTGAATAGTGTTGCCAGCTATTTACTATACCACAGTGATATTCTAAATTCTATGATCGACATCTACATACTTTTCTGAAGTGGCAATTTTTTTTGAACACTAATTTTTACTTTTATTTTAAATTTCTATATTTTCATTGCCTCTTTTAAATATATTTTTTGTTTAATTATTTTATTAATATTGAGTATTGATACAAAATCTAAAGCGTTACGTTAATATGCAAAATACAAAAGCCCGGACAAAGTGTAGATCTCTACTTGGTAGTGCTAAAAAATCATAATCACTTATAAAACTTACATATATACATACGAAATATTTGTATAAATTTCGGAAGGTTAAAATTTTAGAAAGCGAAAATTATTATTAAAAATATAGTATTCAAACTTACAAAAATCGTGGGAATGCACATTTTTGTGCGTTTTATGGTTAAGCAAAAATTATGATAACATTACTGGAAATTTATAATACTTAACAGCGCACCGCCTGAGTTAAAACACAACAAAATAATTTAAAAAAAAATGTAAAAAAAAATTCACAGAAAATTAAAAAAAAAAAATCTGGGAAGACCGAACAATTTTTTTTTCAGGAACCAAAAACAAATTATAAATGCGTAACATATTTTTAGGCCATTGGGCTCTTAACTTAGCAAGGGATGTAAACTGAATAAGCAAAACGAAAAGAAGAAAATACAAAAAGTAACAAAAAAATACTCCATACTTACAAATACAAATGCAGCAACTAAAATGCGAAATTCTAATATTCAAGAAGCAAATGGCAAAAAACAAACAAGATAGACAAAATTATTACAGAAAACAAAAGAATGCATATCATAGTTGTAAAAAAGATAAACAAAAACAAAAACCACGTGCTGAAGGCAAAGCGAAACACAAGCGAACTTAAACGCAAACATAATTATTATTGCCGATTATTATTATAACAGACTATTAATACTGAACATTGCGGTTACAAAACAAGAAATTAAATGGTGAGTTGGTGGGTGAGTTTTAAATAGCAAAGACAAACACAAAAAAGGCGTTAAAAGTAAAACCGTAAAAAAAAATCAGAACGATTGCGTTGAGGCAAAAATAAATTAATAACAAATGCAAAAAAATTTAAAAAAAAATATATACACTTAAAGCAAATTTAAGTGAGATGAGAGATGAGCGCGCAAAACGGCAATGCGTGTCAGGCGGCAAGGTAAAAACTTATGTATGTATAAACAAAATGCTTAGTAGCGTCTCAACACCAATAATAAATACATATTTCCAAAGCAACACAAAAACAAAAACAAAATTTAAAAATAAATTATCAGCAGAGCCAATAATTCGTTGAAAAAGAAGGCAAAAAAGTAAAATGAGAAATTGTCAACTTTAAAGTTCACGCACATAGTCACAAGGCTCAAATGTGATTGGTCGATTGGGTATTTGGCGTTGATGGTGACTTAGCAGCGTTGCAGTGTATAGTAAAGCATACATTATAAGCAAATGATAATTGAATTATATATTGCATACACACACACACATACACAAACATATTGAACAAAAGTAAATAATAAAAAAAAAACATGCAAAAACCAAATATAAATACAAATATAATGAAGCAAATGAGAAATAAAAATGATAAAAATTATAAAAGTGAAAATAAAATATATAAAAATGAAAAAATTACATATCTTTTTAATTAAAGTATAGGAAATGAATGGAAGCAGCACTCTTATTTATTTTTATTAGAATATAAGCAAAGATAGTTTTGTACTTGCAGCGGAACATAGCAACCAAAATACTCAGCGCTTTTATATAATTTAAAATGTTACATGGGCTTCCGTTTTGGAAAAAATTTTTTAAACTCGGTCATTGCGACGCCATTTCTTTTAACCCCTCGCAAAAAGATGCGCCTGCGTTAGCAGCATAACTCCTTACAGCACTTTCAAATTCCAGTGAAAATTTCGCAAAATTTTTTTTTAGTTTTAATGTTGTAATAAAAAAAAAAGAAATCTCCATCCGATTTTTTAAATTTGTATCTCAAAGACCAGTGTAAAATTTCATGAAGATCGCTTGAGTAGTTCCTGAGAAATCTCGCCAACCGTCTTCAAAACGCATTTCCGAGAAAAAGTTATGTTTCAATAAGAAAATTTTAGCTTTAAGACTAAATATTTATTTGTGCTATAAACTATTCCAACTAAATTAAAAAAAAGTCTGTGGTCTATTTATTATCATTTTCTTAAGTTTTAAAAACTTAAATTAAAAAATTCGTTGGGTATATGCACTTTTGTTAATATTCTGTAGTCTTTTGACTTCGACAATTTTAAGAATCTGCATATATGATCATAGTTTATATACTGAGAGTGTTACTGTGTATTTTCTACGGATATATCTAATATTTTTTACTGGATACAGAAAGGCAAACTAAATATTTCTGTCGTGAAATTCCTTAAAAATAATTGTATAAACGTTGGTAATGATAATATTTATGATTATGAACACCAATTATCGCAGTCCTCTTGTTACTTATAGCTTTCTTCGATGCGGAAAGCTTTATTTAGTATCGAATCGAACAAACTACACCAACTGTTCAAACAGACTTAAAGAGCTTTCTATTCATTCTTTTGCTAGCCTGTTCTCTTACGAATACTCAGTTGTGTAGCACGACGCTCTTTTAAAGAGACATTTTTCTTCATGATTTCGACTAGTGTCCGTTTCTTATAAACTATTCAAGTCATAAATTTTCAAAATAAAAAAGTAATTTGAGCCATTAACAGCAGTAAAACTACTCCAAAATTTGTATAACGAAACGTGATAACATTGAAAGTGGCGGTTATGCCTTTAATGAAATGTACACCCAATCACTGGTATAAAATTTAACTCATTAACTTTATTATTGTCTTACCTACATAAACAGTTCCCAAAGATAGCGACTAAAGATATAATGAATCGATAATATCTAAAATAAAGTTGAACACCAACCAAGCTAAGTCAAAATCAGACATGTCGAGCAAGAGATTAGAGATCAGACTGTTTCATGGGGTTAGGTGGAGTCAGAGACGTGAAAAAACTAATAAAAATTAAAAAAGAAATAATAATAATACTTCCAAAAGTAATAACTGTTTGTGTTGATCCAGTTTCAAAGGAAGTTGTTACAATCACTTAAACTTAGACTCATCTAAAACAAAATGCACAAAAAGTCAGTTTCGTTACTATATGATCTAGTGATTGTTAGACACTTTTTTTAATTAAAAAAATTGCGATCTCTGGAAGCTTTTTCGGGAAAAAGTCAACAGTTAATTAATTGTTTATAAAAAATATATATTATAGTAATCTTAACTCAAAAGAAATAATTTACGATTTTCTTTTTAACAAATTACCAACAACAACATATCTTTAATCGTCGGCCTTTTACAATTACATANAGTCAACAGTTAATTAATTGTTTATAAAAAATATATATTATATAAAAAATCATTCAATCAGACACTTGCTTTTCACTAAACATAAATATCATTGAAATCTAACGAGTGATTTTCGAACTACTGTCCTCATTAATTCAAAAAAACATGAAGGAATTTGAAGTTTTAAACGAACGTTCCATAGCGCCGGGGAGCCTTTTGCTAATTTTCGAATAACTCGAAAACTTTTTATAGTTTTTACTTAAAATTTACAGGAAATATGTCAAAGATATTATACTTTAAGAAAATTAAAAAAATACAAAAAATTGTCGATCTATATATCCGATTCGATATATCTTACAATTTTCATAAGAGAGATTCTTTGTTTCCTATATAAAGTACTGCTCCGGTATGAAATTTAAATTAATAAATTGTCGGTGAACTGGTCATAATGTCAAAATGTCTTCTCTATTTTTAGACATTGGAAACAATTTGAAAAGACTGCAAGATTTTTCTAAAGACTTTTCTCAAAGTTTTTTTCTCAAACATTTTGAAGTTTTCCATCTCGTGGACAAGAACTTATTCCATAAACTTTAATTTTACGGCATGCTTCTTCTTCCCATTTAATATGCATATAAATTTATTTATGGATGTATGTACTTCTTAATGTTTCACCTAAATATGTGTGCCTTTTAAATGTTTTAAATTCTAAATGTTTTAATGTGTCGGCCATAAAGTAACGGTAAGCTAATTCCAATGAAATATAATACAATAAATTTTTTTATTTGTAGTAATTGTGGCAAGAACATAATTGTAAATTTCCAAAGTATGCAAAGTTTATTAGTAGAGCTATAAAAATGTTATAAAAATTTAAAAATATTTTAAAGAAAATAAAAATTCTTTAAAAATTCCCAACCATTATTGCTTTACACCTTTAGAAAACCAAAACTAAATCATTGCTTTTATTTATTTTATTTTATTATTTAGTTCGCATGCCTYAAGGCCGCTTTCACATATACTTAACAGCTGATATGCATTATTGTAACGTTCTCTTACTAATCTTGAATTCTATTTTGTTCTTCCTCTCTCTCGAAAAGCTCTTTCGACACTTCAGTTCACCGTTTAGCGCTATGGGCAACAGCAGTAGCGCCGCTGTAGCAGCCGCCCACTGTCCAGCACCGTTCGCCTTTCCTTTCACACCATTCGGTCTGAGTTTGTTCGACATAGATCCGTCCAGAATTTTGGGTATGCTGCGACATCAGACTTGGCTGGCCGAAGAAGCTTTGAAGTAAGTGCGCTTTCGTATAAATAACGGTAGTTAAAACCATAACATAATATTTTCTTTTCCACACATAACAGAGGTCACAACTTGTTGAACACACCGAAGGAGTTTGCCCACCGTTTCAATCCCATCGGTGATTTGTTCGCCAAGGATTTCCATCCGAATCATTCGCATGCCAACACTGCCGATTTGCTTGCTGGCGTAACAGTGTCCAATAATAGGGCGAGCACTGTTAGTCCAGTTAAGCAGACAACATCACCACAACAACAACAAAAACAAGCCGAACGCAATGCAATGGTGCAACAGCAACAACCACAGTACAAAACGCAACTTCATCACCAACAACAGCAGCAACAGCCGCCACAACAGCAACAACAAACATTCAATGTGCGCTATCCCTCGCCAGCTGCATATTTCCATCATCAACAACAGCAGCAACAACAGCAACATTTGAAGCAAATGTCCAGCCGTCAAGGCACACCGTCACCACATGCCACCGCCACCTCAACACAAACAAAAGCGGATAACACACCTGCCACGCACACGGTGGCAGCTGATGATGATGACGTCGTCATCGAACTCACGACCACAAACGATGACGCACGCGATAGTGGCCGCGAAAGCGCTGCGCACACACCGAACAACAGCAGCGCCGGCACCTCGAGTGGATTGGGCACTTCAGCCAGCGCAGCCGGTAGTAGCGGTGCACTGAGCAACGCTTGCTCACCGCTACTCTACAAAGAGTCACTCGAACAATTGTTGCAACGTCGTCGTTCCGGCTCCTCGCTTGGTGGCGTCAGCGACAGTTTACGTTCGTACACACAACTGCTGCTCTCCTCGAGCACACCTGGTTGCACCGACACGTCCAGCTGCAAGGAGAAAAGCTCCTCATCTTCTACCTCATCAACACCACCACCCACCTCAGCGCTGCTGGCGCAACACCAGTTGCTCACGCAACGGTTGAATAGTCCATCGGAGACGTCGTCACTATTTGGTGAGCCACCCATCGAAGAGGAGACACGTTGCGTCGTCTGCAATGCACACTTTCCCAATGTGTGGCTATTGGAGCAGCATGCCACGCTCCAACATCCACACATCGGACCGGGCGAGGAGAAACCGTTCATTTGCGAGCAATGCGGTCAGTCGTATCGTTATCGCTCGGCTTATGCTAAGCATAAGGAGCAGAATCATCGCGCTCGCTTGCCGGCCGACAAGCTCTTCACGTGCGACGTCTGTGGCATGCAATTTCGTTATTTGAAATCATTTAAAAAGCATCGCCTCAATCACGCGCTGGAGCGCTTGCACGGCAAGAAGAGCGTGATTGGCAAGCACTGTATAACGCCATTGCATATGCTGGGCGAACAGGATGTGGTGACCAGTTCACAGGAGCCGATGTTGCCCGATGAGGGTGGTGAGGATTTGCGCATTAATGTCAAGCGTGAGCAGGACGATGATGAACGTGAGCAGCGTGAACGCGAGGATCAGGACTGTACCATCGATTCGGCCGGTATGATCATATGCAATGACAACAACAATTCAACAGCTTTAGCTAGCACCACTGTGGCCGAGGCAAACATAAGCAGTTCAGATGGAATTCATAGTACAAATAAAGGGGTGAGTGAAGAATTCTTACCAAGAATTTATGCATCTATTATATTTAATTCTATTCTTTTATAATCTCTAACCAAACAGCCACGCCTTCTTACAACTTCACAAATGGAAACGGATCCCTCCTATCATCATTTGCAACGCCATCCACAGCATCAACATGCCCATCCACATCACCATCAACAGCAAGCGCCACAACAACCGTTGCCACCACATTTGCATGGCGGTGTTGCCGGATCATCACTGCCACCACATCAACATGCACATCCACATGCGCATGTGGCTCTACCGCATTCGCATCATCCACATGCGCATCACGCGGCAGCATCCTCGTTGAACTCGTTAAACTCACTGAACTCCATTACGTCGTTGATCAATGCCGAACGCATACCGAACGAACAATTCCTGGGCCTTAATCCGCAAGAGGCTTCAATACTCAATTTTCTGCGTGTCGACGCAGCCGAACGTCAACGGGACAAACGGTAAGTTTTTGCGTTCCACATTTGTGCACTGTGAGATCCACAAAAGAGTTGAATGAGAGCTTGAGAGAACTCATTTACTTGTGTGATCCGCAAAGGCAGGCTACACAAACTATCCGATTAGTTTAAAACTTGATCGAGAACATATAGAAATAGTAGACAAGTAATATAGTTATTTGTGAATCCCAAAAATCTACTTTTCTCACATATTTTTTGCGGATACCTCAGTACAACATCCACAGTTTCCGAATTTCAACGTCTGTTGTCTTTAAAGACAAGCCGATTTGCAGTGTGCGAATCCCCGAAAGGGAACAGCACAAACTTTGTAAACCAGCAATACTACTCGAACCAAAACACACCTTTCACTTACATACTCTTATATTTTCAAAAAGTTCATGCAAGAGACCAAGACTTTGAAGACCGATGTGTTGTAGAGAATTAGACAACAAAGTTTGAATCGTTCATGTAAACCGATTTCAGTATAAAAGGGATAATATTCAGTGGCTGGGAACATGCGTAATCCCCGTTAGGATGGCCAGGATTAGATAAGGAGGATTTAAAGCTTGTTTTCTTTAGATCTAAGTGTTCTTTGAATCTTTGTTACCTTTACAACTAACCTTTTTATTGAGAGCTAGATATTATGTGTCCATATAGTAAAATAGCCACAATTTAAGAAACAAAGGTGTCAATTAGAGCAAATTTCCTCGCTGATTAATACAATACAAGCTTAATTTTGTATTATTTACCGTTAGTCAAAATATATGTTAACATTCCGCTCCCACTTTACAGCCCCCAAACCTCACGTTTCGCCTGTCCCTTCTGCGGCAAGTGCGTACGCTCCAAGGAGAATCTAAAATTGCACGTACGCAAACACACCGGCGAACGACCATTCGTGTGCCTCTTTTGTGGACGCGCTTTCGGCGGCAAATCGGACCTTACACGTCATCTGCGCATACACACCGGCGAACGGCCGTACCATTGCGAATCGTGTGGCAAGTGTTTCGCACGCGCTGACTACCTATCGAAACATCTAACCACACACATACACAATGCACCACGCTGAGATGAGGTGCGAAGGAGACAACGACTCCTTCGCAGATAATAGAATGAACAGCCGACGACAGAACTTTGGTCGGAACGTTCTTGGTGGCGCTGGTGGTGCGGCTTCTTGGCGGCCAACGCTGCGACCGCGGAGAACGATGCAATGCAGAATGAGGCGAGAAATGTGGAATGCAACAACAACAATGTTCAACATTAAAACAGTAAAAAAAGTTATGAAACGCTATATAGGTTATAATATGTATAAGAAACACAGGATTAAAAGATTCGATAAATTATTGATAAACAGATTTGAGAAACTATGGATAAATATAATAGTTAAAGCATCGATAAATGTTATCGATAAACATGTTTGATAAAATTATCGATAACTACAAAAGTATGAGGCAATGGCATGCCTTTAAACAACAACTATACCAAGATGGGAGAAACTTCTATTTAAGTACATATACATACATACATTTGTATTGGAACTCAGCTAACTAAGCTTTATTGATCGTGTTTACAAAGAATTGCGTAAGAAATTAGGTTTTCGAATTCAACATTTTAGGTATGTGTGTTTTTAATAAAGCACTCTTTGTATGAGGTGTTTGCAATTTTAATTTTAGAAAATAATTTCAGGTTGAAAATGATTTTAAAAGTTGAAAGTGCTGCCAAGCAGAATTTCAGCTAACGAAAGCGAAGACGCGGGTATTAGCTATTACGTATGAAAGTTAAAAACATGTTTTTTTATGAAAGTTAGTTTTAAAAAAATAATTAAGTGTCTTAATTCCACCCTAGGTGTCAAGTTTAGTTTTTTAGTGATTTCTTTTTTTTTTTTATTAAGTTTAAAAAGGCGTTTCGTTTTTACACTTAGTATTGGATTTACTTCATTGAAAGAGAGGAGTTTTACGGAATTATTCGCAGAACAAGCAGACCTGTCACGGACCTTCATATTTTTTCTAATTTATAAAGGAGTATTGAAAACCTATGAGGTTCAAACATACCTTTTTCGTCTTTATGTTAACTTTGTACACCTTCTCTCAAATGTAATCACTGCCGAAAATTACCTTTAACTATTTTGAATTTTTTTTTTTTTCAATCATATACATTTATTAAAAATCTGAGGTTAGGTATTTCTACTAGAATTCTAGTTGCGATCCGTAACTTAAGGTTAGGTACTTCTAGTAGAATCATTCATATCTACTTTAATTTCAATCCGCAAATTAATAATAGTTGTACGATTTCTAAAAGCCACCTAACGAGCTGAAGTCATAAAATTAAATGTGTTCAGTAAACCATTATTTTATTTTAGCACAGGAAAACTCCAAAGTTTTGGAAAATGCAGTAATTTTTTTTTGCTCTCAAGAGATGACAAGTCTTTTCATATATTTACCAAGCTGAACCCTGGTTCATTAGTTCAAAATGACTACCTAGCTGCTTTTTAATTAACATAAGATCATTGAGATCTTACAACAGGTAAATAATGAGCCCTACTCCGTTAGCCAAAATTTTCAGAGAATGTATTCTCTCGATGCATATTTCGAATGAATATTATCGATGCGAAGACAGAGGAGCACTTATGTATCATACAAATTTAACAATTTCGGTGTCCGCACCAAATGCTTCAAATTTGTTGAGCTTTCATAAGAATTGAAAGGTTTTAACGATTATTCTTATATGCAAAAATAACGGTAAACTTTGAAAAACTAAAACATCTAGTAGTTCTGCAAGTCTTTCGTGTAGCATAAAAGCGATATTCGAGTTAATATCGATTTAGATCTAAACCACGATCACTTTTCAAAACTCAGGAGCTCTATAAGAAACAACCATTATGTATTCAGTTTAAAACTTCGAATAAACAGTTCATGCCACCTTTTGTGTTCATTTTGCTAACTGTTTGAGCACTTAACTACACTATAACTTACACACGATCGTTTTTAGACCTCTCATCATGATCAGCACGATCATTGGTAAGATCCTCTCTTTCAATGAAAATATGTTTCAAAGAGCAAAACCAACATTTAATTTTTAAATATAGAATATTATAAGTATATAAGTAAACATTTTGGTGCTAGCGATTTCTCAAAGGAGGCAATTATTTAGAAAGCGTTTGAGGAAAAGAGAGCGGACGCTAGTGAGCGCCCTGTGTTAATATGTAGGCAAAGAGACGTTACTAAGCCAAACAGAGGTTTTTTTTTATTCAAATAAATATTATCTACATTATGTTTAGGTCTTATTCACTGAGAAAAATATTTTTTTCTCTAAGAAGTATATTTTTTTCTCCAAGAAATATTTTTATTCTTTAAGAAACATATTTTTTATTATCTAAGAAGTAGTAAAAAACATCACAACAGATAGTGGTTATAGTTAAGGTTAGTGTGAGAGATGTCAGAAAAGTCGTCGGAGCATTGAGGCAAATCTGCAGTGAAATTCCACAGATGAAAAACAAACAACAAAACCAAACAACCAAAAAACAGAAGGTAATGCAAGAACTTAGCATAATTGAAATTCTAATATTTCTTGTAAATATTAAAAAAACACACACACACACAATGTGTGAGAACATAGCGAGAACCCAACAAAACAAACAAACAGAGAAAGAGATTTGGTTTCAACAAATTACATACAAACAATCAAAAGTTAAAATATTATATAAAATAAAACACAAAACACAACTAATAGCACAATCAAAAAGCAGCTATTATTAAATAGTAACAACAAAAGCAAAAGCAACAAGGCAACAGTCTACATAAGTATTACGAGTAGAGATGGATTTTGTTTTGTTCAACAATTTACAATAATAGCAAATAGACAAATTTTTACAGAGTATTTTTTTTTTTCGTTACATACTTACACATATTCAAATTGCATAGCGCAGCGTGCAGACATAACCTGAAATTAAATGAAAATAGTTGAATTTTTTGTTCATTTACACGCATACATACAAACATAGATATCTTTTAAAGCAAGTTGTTTATAACAAATAAGCAAGCAAAGTAAAGAGGCAACTGTACAAGATTTTTTATATACATATATTTACAATTACAATTATTGCAACAATAATTTTTTTAATACATAAATATATACAAACATACATAAATAATATATAAATCTATAGAGTAAACCAATGCAACTCAAAATAGCAACAACAAGTAAATGAATAGCATAAATAGCAATAGCAAAGTATAATTTTTATTAATATTAATATACATACAGATATAATTATATACATACATGCATACATACAAAGATAGCAAACGTGGAACAATAGAATTTATTCATTTTTATG